GATTCCTCTTTTAATCAAAAAATTAAAATAGAACAACGATCAGTGGACGATACTCGTAGAAATTATTCCACACATACATGAAGAGAAAAAAATTAAAACTTTTTAATGGGATAGACGTGGAGGCGTTTCGAGCTTAAAAAACAATTTGTTTTTTAGCTCCAAAGATATTGTTTTCCTTTTAATTGTGCTGCCAAGTCTTTCAGGGTCGTTGTGGTGTGCAAAAAAAAAAAAAATTAAATAATTATCTTTCGTGTAAAAACTGACATCAATTTTTATTTCAATTTATCTATCCACCGTTTGCACATCTACACAAAAATATATTATTTATTTTTTTTAATACAAAATCAAATATATTTTATTTAAGATAAGAATTACAATTTCACAATAATATAGTCCCATACTATATTTCGTAAACATTGTTCTGGACAAGGCAAAAAAAAACGCGTAACACAATAATAAAAAACTGGCTATCTTATCATAATATATATTTAATTAACAGACTGCACTAATTTTCATTTAAAAAAATTAATCCGTTTCAGAAGCTTTGCATATATACACACATATATATATTTAGCATACATGTATATATACATATATATATATATATATATATATATGATATATAGGAAAATGATAGAAAATGACATTAGCACTGATAAGAATGGGAACCTCTGAAGATAGTAATGGAATGATAATGACGTTTTATTTTTTAGTGTATAGGTACATATATGACTATAAATAGATATTTTTCAATTTTTCGCTACGTAGTTTTTTATTTACTATAATTTTCTTTAACAACTGTTATTACTTATTTCATATATGTTGTAAAAACTTGAAAAAATGCTTAAAATTCAAGTTTTTAAAAATATATTTAAAAATAATATATTAATTAATAACTACAAAGTAAACTTTTTTGATGTTATTATTGAAATTCTTAATGGATAACATTAATTTAAAATTATTAAATAATTAGCTATGTACATATAAATATACTATGACAGCAATAGAAATTACCTAAAGCTGTAGCAGAAGAAAAAAATAATTTAATAAATTTACTAAAATAATTAATGTACTCTTTGAAAAAGTCACACTGCATTTAAATTACTCTTAAGTAACTAAATTAATTTGGCCATGCACCCATCGTTCAACATTGTCTACATAAATACATGAAATTAAATTAAAGTTAATGCGCCAGCTAACAGTACCAAAAAAGGAAAGAAAATTCCAACTAGCAATACTAAAGCGAAAAGAGAAAACAAGACTAAATTAAAAAATCCCTAGAAAACAACCGCATCACCATTTTTAATATCAAATAAAAAAAATGTAAAAGTATCATTTAAGTTGTGAGAAATAACGGACACACAAGGATCAGCAGTTCTATACGATAAAGAGAATTTTCCGTTTAAAAGAACTTAGTATATACATAGGAAAAATAAAAACTGGAAACTAGCAAAATTGAAAATTTTACGTTTACTTAAAAAAATTAAGTAAATTGATCTCATTTTCGTAACTTAAAAATTTAAACTAGCTCTAGAGACTTTATGACTGTATCTAGAATTTAAGTCTTATATAGATCATATTTTAGATAGAGTTAATTAAATAAAATTCTCCAAAAACATCATTTACAGGGCAATTCTGGCAATGATCTTTCAGCTCATTATTCTCAAAAATCTTGCAAAAGATCGTTTGACAGATCTTTCTTATTCTAGCAGCGGTCTTTTGCGAGACTGAAAGTTGTTTTTTAGGTCCTTCTAAAGACCAAATGAAAGATCTGCTATTGATTAGATCTTTCGATTTCGATCGTCAGTTAAGATTTTGTTTGTTTTTCGTGTATAAATTTTATTTTAAATAAAATAAAATACATAAGTAAAATAAAAACTATTAATTTATTAATTTAAATTTGAAATAATAGAACAATTTCATTTTTAACGACGCAAATTTAAAACTGTATATAAAAATTTTAAAATATATATTTTATATATTTACGTATAATATATATATTATTTATATATTTAAATTTAAATATTTATTAATATTTTAATATTGATTTATTTATTTACTAATATTTAATATTTAAACTATAATTTTAAAAATTATTAATTTTTTTTTCCGCTGTGTTAAATGCAGTAATACCTGCTACCACTTCTTTTATGACATGAGTTATATTTAGTAAATAATCATTGAATTGTAATTTAACGTCAGTTATGATAGGTATAATAGTTTATAGCTATGGGTCAGGGTCAGTTAGTTAATAAACTGATTCTCTGAACTTCAAATTTGGCTGGGTACAAGTAAACCCTTGGTACTTGCAATCTCAAAAAAAAATTATTAACGAATAATCAAATATAAGAACCAATTCCAAGACACCGATTAAGTGTATTTAGCAATACTCGAAAATTCAATTAATTAAAATAATGTAAATAATTATTTATGTATAAATAATAATAATAATTGAATATATAATATATTATGCGGCTTTCCTCAGTATTTGTATTAAAATTCAATTGTTAACTTGCATTTGACAGCGATTAGCAGCTGTTTTTGATTTTACTACGAACGAAATAGAACAAAACAGCTTTCTACCACGAATTACAAATGATAAAACATTTTTTTAATAAACTTTTGTGCCAAAAAAGCCAAATTTTTGAAACAGTCTTTCCTTCGATATTTCGAAAGACTTAAAAATTTATTACAGAACTGCCCTTTTATTCAAATGTCGTATTTTAGAAATAGGAGTATTAAGATCATTTAAAATAAATAAGCTTTAATTATTGTAGTATATATAATATAATATCAGGGCAATTCTGGCAAAGATCCTCAAAAGTCTTTCTTAATATTTTCGGAAGACCGTTTGTAGAAAACGCAAAAGTCTTTCAAAAGTTTTATCATTTGTAATTCGTGGTAAAATGCTGTTTTGTTCTATTTCTTTCGTGGTGAAATCAAAAACAGCCGCTAATCGCTATCGCATGTAAGTAAACAATTGAATTTTAATACAAATCTGATGAAAAGCCGTAAAATATACTATATATTAAATTATTATTATTATTTATACATAAATAAATTTAGGTCATAGCATGAAAGAAATGGTAGCAGCTATGGCTCCAGTGGCAAAAAAAAATTAATTAGTTTTAAATTTATAGTTTAAATATATATATATATAAAAATAATAAATAATGTAAAAATAAATAAATTAATATTAAATAAATATTAAATTTTAAATATAAATAAAATATATACATTATTTATAAATAAATAAAATAGTGTAGTATATCAATTTACGTTTACGTCATATTAAAATAAAGTTGGAAATAATTGTTCCATAATTGTTACAAATTTATTTAATTCATTAATTAATTATTAATTTTTATTTTCATTATGTATTTTATTTTATATAAAATAAAGTGACAATTGAAATCGAAAGATCTAATCAATAGCAGATCTTTTATTTGGTCTTTAGAAAGACCGAAAAGAGCTTTCAGTTTCGCAAAAGAGCTAAAAAAGTATGGTGAGCTGAAAGATGCCAGTATGGCCCTTTATTTCTAATATTATTTCTTAACACATGAGAAAGCACAAAAATTGAGATTGGTTTTAGATATTCTTGATAAAAGTGTCATCATATCTAGTCATGTCAATTTATGTTTTATTTATTTTAAAAACAACAACGCACCAGCATAAAAATCTCATAAACACACCACATACATCCTACCACATCACCCACAACTCACCACACTTCATGTATTTTGCCTGTAATCTATTGTACTAGTTTTCTAAGTCCATGTAGATCATTTACCTTTACTTCATTTTTATTGAAAGTATTTAATAGAAAATCAGCATTAATTTTAAATCAATAGTTTGACATTGTTCCGCAAAACTACAGTTACATATGCGATTTTGTAGAAATTAAATAGAAAACTGATCAATCAAATAAAATAGAATTTATATATTTCTGGTAAAAGTATTATAATAAATTTATGAAATGAAATTGTAATTTACATAATTATCGTTGATAAAAATGTATTAATGCATTTAATTATGGAAACTTATGTCATATTTGAAAAACCCAAAATAGTTAAGGGGAATTCTTAACGCGATAAATATAATTTTATATATATAGAACGAAAAGTTTTTTCTGATATACACATCCGTTAATAATAATAGCTCTATTTAAGAAAAAATTTAAAAATGGATACATTTTTTTCTCTCTCAAAGTAGCAGTCGTAATTGCTAACCTCTGTTAGTTATTTGTAGTATAAAAAGAAGAAAAATGCTTGGACTTTCTTAAAAGTATAGTTATTCTTAAGTAAGTATTTTAATACTATATTTACTACATTTTTCAGTTACGGATATATATAAACAATGCATTTGCAAACAAACAGAGAAATGGGTAGCTTAAATCGATTGGTATATTACTGACCAATAACTAGAGTTGATATGGTCGGTCTTCGACAAACCCCACTTTGCGGCATAAACAACTTCAAAACCTTTATAAACATAATTTTGTAACGTAATTATGAACTGCAACTTATTTAACTTAACACAAATAAAAAAAAACAATTTAAGCTCTTCGTATCAACCGAAGAAATGCTTATGTCTGCAATCACAACAATTAAATCTACCAGAGTAACGCACTACATTGTGTGCTTCATGGGCGCGAAATCAATAGAAAAATCGATCAAAATGTCTTATGCAAAAATTCTTAAAAATAATTTTGATTATTCAGCACTACTAGAGCCCTTTGCGTCTGGTGTCCGCCGTATTCAAGGCCAAAATAAAGGCGCTGTTGTTGCACGTATGTGGCAAATCGAAATAAATGCACTAACGCATTTACTTTTTTGTAAACTCAAGTGTAGAGTCTCTTGGTGCCTCCCTCCTCGTTTTTGTGTATTTCCACAGAATTATTTAAAAATAATTCTGTGGAAATACTTAGCAATAATAGCAATAATCTCATTATTTAAATAACTAACAGAAAATCAATATAATTTTTGCTATTTATCACAAACTTAACTTACAATTGATAAATTACAAATAAATATTTGGCATTTATTCGAAAGTGCAAAGTAAATAAAGATTTTATTCGATTTACCATCAAATTCCTTAGACAAACACATATCGTTGAACTGCGCATTACCGATTGCCACAGTGCTGTGCTGTAATTGCATTTGATTGTGTTTTTGTTGTTGTTTAGTGTACTGATATAGTTGTTGTTGTTCGGCGTCTAGAACGTTATGCTCAGAGGAGGCAGTACGTAATGGGTTGACACCACCGTTACCAGTTATTGAATCGTTTTCTTCCTCCTCTGCTGGATAGACACAACTTCGTGGCCGAATGCGACTTGCACTAAATACACCCCCTTCGTCGGTGACCGTTATATGAAAGTTCTTTTGATAACCGCGACGTGCATCGTACGACGTACTCGAATACGTTAGCCCGGTGCCGTTACCGTTTAGTGCTGGGCCTGCAGATATATCGATAGTTGATTGTGGCACGGATGCGCTTGGTTGTCGTAAAGTTAAATTGACCGTTGTATAACTTTTCTGACTATTATTAATGCCGCTACAATTACTTGACGTTGGAGAGACAAGAAAATCGCGTGTGTACGGTGGTTCGGGTTGTACAGTAATAACTGAACGATGTCGTATGGGAGATTTGAGCTGATTGTTATTGTGTGGTGTGTGTTGGTGAGCTGTTGGCGACGATAACGAAACATTTACTGATATTTCTGACTCGCCTGAGCTTATCGGACTGGTGAGAGTTGATGATTCGTTAGAAAAGCTACTCTGCTGAGAATGTAGTGAACTATTGTGGTGAAATTGTGGACTGACAGCATTGTTCGAGGTAAGTTGCGAAGGTTTTGGTGGTATAGGAGGTAATGGTGCTTTTCTTAGTGGTCTGTGTGGTAGAGGCGATTGTTGCTTCTGTTGTAGCAGCTGCTGTTGATTGCGTTGCTGTATGTGCTGTTGTAGTTGTACATGTAGTTGTTGTCTTTGTTCGAGAACTTGTTGCTGTTGTTGTTGTTGTTGTTGCTGTTGCTGTTGGCGCTGTTGCTGAGTTTGCAAATTTAATGTTGTTGGACGAGCGCGAGGTGGATGTTGTGGTGGTGTAAATGGGATTTCTGTTACCGCTGTATTATTGTTATTATTAATATTATTACTATTATTATTATTGGCTGTTGGTGTTGCCGTATTATTTGTTGTTTCATAATTAGAACATTCTTGCATATCACTCACACTATTTACACTCGTTAATGCGCGTTGTGTCGGTGTTATTGTTTTTGTAATTGCTGGCATATCACTTGTACTTTCACCGACACTATTCTGTGTAATTACACTATTTGAATTATAAACATCTTTGAATTTCTTATTAACTTTGTTGCTATTTGTTATTTCACTAGCACTAGCACTAGCACTACCACTATGACTATCACAATTTTTTACCTCCACAGGATTGTGGGAATTATTGAATTTCGTTCTGGACGACGTTTGGGTCAATTGTAGGTTTTTTGTGGGCTTCGTCGCTACAATAGGCGGGTGCGTTGGTGCTGCACGTGTTGGTTTTAAGGGTGTAGGTGGTTTCTGTAAACTGTGTTGCGTTTGCAATTTCACTTGTTGTTGTCTTTGTTGTTGCAGTACTTTAGCTGGATATGCTTGGGCTGGCATCGGATTTGCAGCCAATTCATTACGCAACATTTGTATACAATTATCACGTTGATGACAGTTCTCATTCACGCACTGTGTCACTATTGTATCTGGTATGGTTGGAAATTCTTGTTTCATTTCATGAAATAAGTGCATAATACTTATATTTGTGCAATTACAGTTTGCGTTTGCTATATTCGTTGTTGTTATATTTGAATTATTTGGTATAGAATCCGTAGTATTATTTTTCACTGAACATTTGTTATTGTTACTGTTATTACTACTACTATTATTATAATTATAGTTATTGCTTAGAGTATTGACACCATTAACTCTATGGATATTATTACCGTTATTATTACTGTTATTGCAATTATTAGAATTTCTTTCGCTGCCACTTTCGTCATTATTGCTACGTTTTAATAAAAATCCTGGCGGCTTTGGTGGTTTAGCCGCCATTTTAGGCCATCATTTAAAATAAACACACACCTGAAAACCAAAAAAAAAAAAATCATATAATAAAATCATATATAAAATCATATATAAAATCATATAAAAATCATATAATTAATTTGTATAACATTCTTAAAACGCTCATAGAATTGAAGCCATTTGTAATTAATAAAAATCTAATTAATGTTATTCAAATTGTTCACATAAATTAATATTAAAATCATTAAACAATTATTAATCATTTTCAAATTTATAACGTAAAGTTCGAATGGGCTAAATTATCTGGATAGTCTATTTTCTATTAAGTAACTCGAAAATACAAAAAACGCGATTAGTTCTAATTAATCTAGTCTTTTTTTTTTGATTGTTTATACTTCTAGCTATAATTTCCATATGATTTATTTTTTGCTAAATCATATTTTCTGTTCGAAAACTATATAAAGTTAAGGGTTCTTTTTTTAAAAGAACAATTCATTACTTATGGTTTTCTAAAATTTAAATTTATATTACAAAAAATTAAATTTCACGAGAAACAAATTAAATATAAACAATTGTTAAAAGTAATAATACATAACGCAATTATATTAGAACTATAATATAAACTATATATTATATTAGAACTATAATGATTTACAACATTCAGAGTTAGTTATGGAATAATCCGAAAAACAAATAAACTATAATTAGTTGTCAGGTTAAATAGAAAGGGGTTAAGACTTTTATGACATGATATAGACTTTTCACGATCATACATTATTTATTAATAAAAATTTTGCTAGATATTGACAAATACTACCAGATCGGTAGTATAGAAATATAGTGGTGACTGATACTTAAAAGTTTCGATTTGTTAAAAAAAATTTGATATCTACAAAGCTTAAGATAATTTATAAACTATTTTAAAAATCAAATTCTACTAGGTATTAAATGAAAAAATATTTAATGAATCAAAACTAATCTAACTTATTTTAACAAACCGTTTCTAAAATATTGTGAATTTTTGCGAACGATTTTTTAGAAAAATTACTCTTAGGGACATTGTATATGGGTGAACCTTGAAAATACAAATATAGACAATATAAGTTATAAAAAAAAACCTGTATAAACTGAAAATTTTACAAATAAATAAATATATACTTATTTGTAATTAAATCTCAGGAAAATGTGATTGCGATATATTTTACTTTTTTAAGATAGAAATTTGAATTTGAAGTTTATATTGGAGAGAAAAGTTATTGCTAAATCAATAACTTTTCAATCAATCAATAACGAATTATGCATTTATCGTTAATTTGAGTATTCGTTATATTTAAAGCGACTACTGTATTAGTATATTAAATGAAAATACTGAGTCGGGAACTTCTATCTCCATTTGTTATTGGGAAATCCACAAAAAAAAACAATTCTCATTCACATAGCAGGGTACATTTTATTCGATTAGAGTCAATCGTTAGCACAATATATCAACTATAATGGCAATGCTTTGCTGGACTAAGAATCAAGTATTCTATTGTGTTAAACATTGACAAAATATCAAACCATATTCGAACCTCATTCGAATAGTTGGGTACATTTTATTCGATTAGAGTCATTCATTAGCACAATATATCAACTATAATGACAATGCTTTGCTGAACTAAGAATCAAGTATTCTATTGTGTTAAACATTTACCAAAATATTAAACCATATTCGAACCTCTATTCGACCCTCATTTGAATAGTTGGGTACATTTTATTCGATTAGTGTCATTCGTTAGCACAATATATTAACTATAATGGCAATGCTTTGCTGGACTAAGAATCAAGCATTCTATTTTGTTAAACATTTACCAAAATATTAAACCATATTCGAATACATATTCGAACCTCATTCGAATAGTTGGGTACATTTTATGCAATTAGAGTCATTCGTCAGCACAATATATCAACTTTAATAACAATGCTTTGCTGGACTAAGAATCAAGCATTCTATTGTGTTAAACATTCACAAAATATTAAACTACATATATTTTTTCTGACAACTCTTAAAGTAACTAAACAGATTAATTTATTAATTCCATTAATAAATACTCTTTGAACAAATATCTTCATTTCATTTTCATTTTGCATTTTTGTAAATGTTTCATAAAAAACATAATTTAATTTACAAAATATAATATTAAAATCTCAATGTGGCAAAAATTGTTTAAATTTATTTTTTTTAATATTATTTCATTTCCAGATTTAGCGCAGACACTAATTTTAATTTAAATTTTAAAAATGTGCAACTTAAATAAAATAAAAAAGAATTATGGTTGAAGTATCTAATAAACAAATGACATGAAAATTTAAAAATATTTATGACACAGCACCAAACAGAAAATCGGCAAACAGCATAAAACAAACAAGTATAATATACACCGTACATAATATGTATAATAGAGATATAGATTCAAATTTTGAGTAAAATTTTTACCCTTTAAGCTTAGTATATATAATTTTTAAAATAAATAAAAAAAAATTACACTGAAGCAGTTAAGCAGATAACAATGGCTGTATTTTAGTTAGTTTTGATTTAGTTTGCTGTGATTTAATTTATGTTTTTATTCGCCTCGATTATCTACATTAATTACTCACATTTTTAAAATAAATTTAAACAAATTTATAATTTAAATAATTTATTTACACGAATGAGTATTCGTTTTTATTAACTTTTATTTTATTTGTTTTTTATTTTTATAAATTCTATATATATGTAGTAACTGTCAAAATTTAGTTATTACACTACACTATGCTTTCTTTTTCATTTTTTATCTTTAATTCTTTTCTTTAAGCAAATTGTAATTAATTATATTTTTTTTAAATATTTTGCAAAAAATTGCCATAAAATTATGAATTTTTTTTACACAATAATTCGAAAAACGCAGAAAAATGTTTTTGGCGATATTTTCTTTACGAGATATAAGCGCGTTTGTTCGATTTAAATGCTAGAAGATAACTAAAAATTCTGCAAATAATCTACGATATTCTGCAAAGAAACAAAACAAACAGATTTATACATATACATATTAATACATATTATATATACGTATAAAAATCTGTACTGAGGTATACGAAAAACTTGAAAATGTGCTTTTTTAATATGTCGTGTGAAAGAGTCTAGGCGATTGTGTGAGAGCAGGTCGCACTCGGCGTATACGTTACATGTTTTATATTTATTATTTTTTGTTCCCTCAATATCCCATAGTGGAATATTAAAAACAAAAAACAAAAAATAATTAAATATTCCAAACATATAAAACAATTTCTTTTGGCCTTTGAATTGATAAGATAAAATATATCGACTAATTTGTATTAATGTAGACACTATATATGTAAACGATATATGTTACTTGGTAGTTCTCTCATATACACATAAGATATTTATTATTTTTAAGCTTAATACAAATTAAGCCTTTTTCGATTGTATTGGATTGGGCAAAAAGTATTCGGCGGTTTTCTACTTCCTTGACTTTGAAATGGTTATTATTATCTGCTAATTATTTTATTTATTTGATAAAAAGTTTGATATATTTAACACTTTATTATGATAAAGGTAACAGAAAAGGAAAAATGTTAATACGTAAAAAGATTTTAGCTGTTTATGGTTCACTTACTTTATCAAATTCAACTGTCAAGAAATTGCTCGCTAGAATTTTAGATGAATTTTTAGAAGACACTTCACTCTGATTGACTATGAACAAAAAACTCGATAAAATTGTAAATTAAGTTTAAAAAGATGGACAGGACATGTGAAATCTCGCAACATATCAAAACGACTGACAATTGATGGACCGAATTTTAATCTGTAAAACGAAAAGTGTGTGATAAAAACTAATTCTTATACGATAATGTTGTCTGAAAACAATTTTGGTCTAAATACAATGACCAAATTGTAGCTAAGTGGAACTTACAAGTCAGAAAATAATGCTATGTATTTAATAGGCAAATGATTGATTTCAATGTCTACTGTCAATAATGCCGTTGCAATAAAAAAATAGGTGAAAAATGAAATAAGAAAGGTCTTGTTATATCACGATAGCTACATAATTTTTTTGTAATACGAGAAATATTAGGACTTCTTGAAACTAATAATTATGTATTTTGAGTTTTATATTTTTCAATTAAAATTGTTACCCCATAATTGTATTCCAGCTAATAGTTTTCTGATTCTTTCGTGAAAGTAAAACGTCAACTTCCATAACATGATGAGAATTATTGTTATTATACTATTTTTATTTTACATTATATTAATTGACATAAATTTACTTGCCATAAAAGATAATAAAAAGGTAATGGGATGGTCAAAGAGGGGTGAAATCGTTTGCAGATCTTCCAACCACATTCATCTGTTTTAAAGCTAAGTTCAAAATAAATTCGACTATTATAACCAATAGTGTCTACTTGGAGGAAACCAGAGGTGGTTTAGAAACTGAAACCAATTGGCCCAGTTTTGACCGAATTATTTGCATTAGTTTTATCAATCACTATAAATTATAGAATATAAATCACTATAATTATAGAATTTCTTTCGATATGTGATTCATCAAAAAAGCATGAATTGTCTTTCAGTTTGATGAAAGGACTGTTTAACTTTCATAATCAATACATTATTTTACTAGTTGCATTTATTATTTTTCGGAAATACACTATTTTAAAACCTGATAGTTATTATTTTAAACTATAAAAGAATATTTTTCTATATCGTGCGGGTATAATCGCATTTTATTTTAATTTGGGAGTTATTACACCAACGGATTTCTTAAAACCATTAATAATATATTAAATGAATAAAAAATTATTGAATTACTAACTCAATCGATAGCAAATACCAATTACGCTCAGGTTAGATTGGAGTAGCGCCCTTGTACACTAAAACCCACTTGAGCTCAAATAATAGCCCGTTGTGATACCACGGATTAGCGTATTAGCGTTGTTCATACGCAGACCACTAGGACCTACATAAAGACCGCAGGTCCTGAGAATTAAGGCGAGAATAACATTCCGATTTATAAATAACCAACAGTTGATACAACAAAGATTCCTTAAAGGAATCGATCATCCATCTTATATATTCCTTGTTTTCAATTATAAAGTGGGTAGACGAACCAATGCAAATAGATAGAGTATTCATTTGTGTTGGTACTTAAAAATACAAATTTTCAGTTCATTGCATATGAACAAGAACAGAGCTAATAAAATTTAAGTATAGATTTTATTAATTGAGAATTTCAGATATATATATATTTTACGTAGAACGAAAAGAAATAATTTTGATATTTTAATATTTTTATATGCAGGTATATAGTAAAATATGATACAAATATGTGCAGATATAAAATTTTATTAAAAATAAATGCAAAACAAATTCTTAGAGATATCGAAATGGTCAAATGGCAAAAAAAAAAAAATTAAATAATTTATTTCTTATATATCCGATAGAAAGATCAATTTTGTTTTTATATATTTTCTGCATATATAAGATATAAAAGAATATAAAATTTTTTATTTATTTAGCATTTTTCATTAAAACATTTCAATTTAATATTTCGAAAATAACCGAAGTGTAGGTGTAACGAAAAAGTCGAAAATTGAATGAAAATAATTTTATATATATATTTTTAAATATATACGAGTATATATGTATGTTTAGTATGTTCATAATTAAAAGGAAATAGAAATATCATAACAAAATATTGGATATATTTTGAACAATAAGAATAGCAGTACGAACTAGTATAAATAAGTATGTCTGTATGTTTGTAAATAAACATACATACAGACCCACGAATTAAACCGACCAATGTAGGGAAAATATAAAAGTTTAAAAACAATTTTTTCCCATCGCGAAAAACATCTTAACACAAAATTCACATACAAAACAAGTACAAAAATACTGTGATTTATGAATGAAAACTATTTTAAATGCTTAATTAATATTGTTTTGTTTAAAAAGAGAAAAACACTACACAACAGATAAATATTCGTATTCTTATTTCGTATTGAAATAAGAATTGCATTCGATTTAAGAACTTTACTGTAGTCTACAGAAATTAGTACAAATGCATCAAAGAATAATTTACATATTCATTTGTGAATAATTTCAGATTGTTTTTTATAAAATTATTTAAAAAAAACTTAAATATATCTATGAAATTCATTAAATTATAAAAGTTTATATGCGATGCACAACCTGAAGTATTAAGGGGTTTGCAAAAAAAGTATCTTATTGAAAGCAGTTTATGATTACAATATATGTAAATATACTTTAAAACAATTACTAGATAAATTAGTATAAATGTATGTTTGTAAATATTTCACTTATATATGTACATACACACATAAAAAATTAGAACTTTGTACATTGTTTTTTGTGATACATTTTTTTTTTTGTTTTTATAATGAGGGAAATCCCATATTTTATGTATGGCGTATAATAAAAATAATAGCAAAAATAAAACAAAACAAATTTATCTTTTGACAAAGCAGTTTTTATATACACAGAAACAAACTCAACAATATTTTCATAATATAAAATTATTATTATT